AACAATTCTCTCACTTGGATACTAGGACACTGAATGCATCACCTACTAGCTGCATCATCTACTAGCTGTACCAACCTTTTTCTCAAATATGATATCCTCAACCTCTGCAACTCAAAGCCCCTGTCTTCATGTCAGAAGACCAGCTGAAGTTGAGCACAACTTCAGCTTCTCACGAGTAACACCCTCAGTTGACATATCACCGTCAACATAGTCTTGTGCCTCCTCTTGTACCTCCAAGCTTTTTCCTCGTTACTCTTGTATCTGCTTACAACTCCCACTGCATGAGCAATATCCTGCCTCTGCTGAAAGCACTTTTCAACAAGTCCAGCCTTGTACCTCTTACTGCCACCAAACACAGTCTTCACCCGGTACACCCACTTGTTGTGCAATGCCTTCTTCCTTGATAGAAGTTCTGTTAGCTCCCAAGTCTGAGTCCCTGATAGAGAATCAGTCTCCTTCTTCTTGGTCAGCTCTCACTTGCTCGAATTCTCATCTTGCAAGATTTTTTCATAACTCTGTGTTTCTCCACCATTTGTCTGTACAAGGTCTGGTTTCCCTGCCTTTGGTGCTCTGCCACTTTTCAGGAAGTGGTCATTCTTCTGCTTCCCCATAATACACCTCTGACTCATGTATGTGTCCACGCCTGAGTAAATCAGTAAATCTGTACTCATATATAGTGTGTCAGTTTTCTTACCCCGAGTCATTACTAATGCTCCTTTGGTAACCTTCCAGGTGCTATCTAAGAACACCACTGAATAACCACCCTCATTGAGCTGCCCAACAGAGATGAGGTTTTTCTTCAACTCAGGTATATGTCTGACCTTTTGCAAAGTCCATTTGCTCTTGTTAGGGAATGCAATATCAACGTCTCTCATCCCCACCACGTCTAGAGCTTTTCCATCAGCTAGATATACAAAGTTACCAGCAACATAATTTCACATTAACTCCAAATGGAAAGATGTATGGAGGAAAGCCCCTGAATCCATCCAGTCATCAACAGAACTATGAAATGTCAGCAATAATGCATCATGTATTTCTTCATTTACAATATTAGCGCCATCATTCTCCTTCTTCTTAGGATTCCTGCAGTTCCTTTTTATGTGGCCAGCTTTGCCACAATTCCAACAGGTTGTCTGCTGACCAGACTTTGATTTTGATCTTCCTCTGTTTGAGTTCCTGTCATGTGATCTCCCTCTGGAATCAATATTCAGCGTCGAACTTGAACACGAGGCCTCTTCAGAATCCTTTCTGCGCACCTCCTCAGCCAAAATCAAATCACGAATATCATCATATTTTAGCTTGGATTTACTTGCAGAACTGCTAATTGCCATCCTGATGGCTTCCCAGCTATTTGGTAATGAAACCAACAATATCAGTACACGTATCTCATCATCAAAATCAATTTCAACAGACGACAATTGATTTGTGATAGTATTGAAATTATTCAGGTGTTGAGCAATAGAGACACCTTCCAACATCTTCAAGTTGAATAACTTTTTCATCAAATACACTTTATTATTCGCCGATGGCTTTTCATAGATACCTGATAAAGCCGCCATGAGATCTGCAATAGTTTTCTCCTTGATGACGTTGTGGGCAACCGATCTCGATAGGGTTGATCGTATAACCCCCAGAACCTGTCGATCTAACAGATTCCATTCCGCCTCGTCCATCTTTTATGGTCGCTTTCGTACTAACAAAATATGAAGTTTCTTCCCATAGAGGTAGTCCTCTATCTGCATCCTCCAGTAAGCAAAATCTGTGTCATTGAACTTCTCGATCCCCGATGTCATTACTTCGTCTCCGCCCATCGTTCTTCCTTAGATTCGAACCCACGGCTCTGCGTTGTTGTGAAAAATGATGACAATAAAGCGAAAAATAGAATGAGAAAAAATTGCACGCAAAAAAGACACCAGAGCGACACACAGATTTATGTGGTTCGACAAATTCACCTACGTCCACGGAGCTGCAGAGGATTTATTTCTTCGAGGAATTACGCTGTCGAGCGCATCGACGTTTACAAGAAAATCTTTATTTTCTTCTCTCCCTTCTCCTCTCTCTCTTCTTCTATTTCTCTTAGCTCTCAAGATGACTTGACTTGGCCTTGCTTGGCTTGCATTTCCTTTAAACCAAAAAAAACTATTTATAGAAACCATGAGAGCGGTAGGTGAGAGGTAGGTAAGCGGTAGGTGGGATGTGGTATGTGAACTATAGGTGGGTGTGGTAGGTGAACGGTAGGTGGGATACTTAATTAAGAAGCTAATTAAATTTAGTGGACCGGGTCTCCACATTACCCAACAAAGTCTTGAGAAAGTCTATGGTAGAATCAATTAGGTTAATCACGTTAAACTAAGAGGTACAGGTTGATATGCTTTGTGAGGAGGTGCAAATGTCAGGAAAATATGCTTTGAAGGGATGTTAATGGGATTAAAGGAATTAAAATCATTTCTATCCAAACTTCTTTATACATTTGGGAGAGAGTAAAGAAGATTGTTGCACTTATTTTTCACTAGTCTTTTTGTACTAGCAACTTTACATTCCATGTAATTTACTTAACTCATCACCAGGGAGGACCTCGTAAATATTTGATATCTTTACAATCTAAATCGTGATAAGTAGGATTACTTGTGTAGGATTTAACTTTCAATTCTCAGTGACACATTAGGGTAGCTTTATAGGAATTTTAACAACATTCACTTTCTGGGCTAGGGCTAGGGCTAAAACCAGTAGGCTAGAACTTTTCCTAATTTGAATTATCTCGTTCTCTGTATGATCGACATTCCGAACTCTAAAATCTGATATTATTGATACGACACGTGCACTTAGGTGAGCCCCCAGCGTGTGGTTGCACTTGGAAGCGGTATCAGCATCAAAGCTACTGCCACCTCCTATGGTCTCCAAATCTTTCGATCCTCATATGTCACCGACATTCTCCACTCCACAGGCATGCTCACCTCCAAACCAGTAACCAATCTTTGCTCACCCAAACAACCACCAACTTCACCAGATCTCACCCCTCTACTAAGGACAACCATATACTATCAGTAAGTGGGCTCTCTACAACATCTAACACTAAATCGCTCGAACATCGCCATTGTTATCAATCATGCCTCTTAGCACATGCAACAACCTACAAACCACCACTTCAGCTAACTCAAGAGGATTCTCCGCTACCTCAATAGCATCGACTCCGTCGACCTCGCCATCCACCGCTCCAACCTCAATATCACCGCCTATTTAGACTCCTACTGGGTAGGCAATCTGACATACCGCAAACCACCTCCAATTACTATGCCTTCCTCGGCTACACAACAATATCTTGGTTTACCAAAAAGCAAGCTACCGTAGCTTGATCATCCTCTGAAGCTGAATATTGAGCACTAGCTTCCACAGCCGCAGATATTATCTGGATCCGACGTCTCATGACTGACTTTGACATCCCTCAACATCAACCCACAATTCTCTACTACGATAATGTCTCCGCCATCACGCTTGCTAACAATCCAATCTTCAAACACATCGAGGTTGATTGTCACTTCATCCGTGACTACATCCAACAAAATCATCTCACCGTTCATCACATCTCAACGTTGGATCAACTTGCTAACATCTTCACGAAGGTTCGCTCCAACTCACAATTTCAGCAAATAAAGTTCAAGCTGAAATTTCCAACTTAAACGATCAGCTTGAGGGGGGATGTAACAACCTCTGCTCCATGTGCCTGCAGCAACACCATGAAATCCTCCTCTAAGATAATCAGGGCCATCCATCCTTACCAGCCTACATCTCACCACTCATTTCATAACTAACCAATGTACACATTTCTCTATATATTTTACTCACTGTAAAAATGAGGGTTTAACTAAAAAGAGGATAAATGAATAAGTTGTCTTTCCCTTTTCTGTCATCTTCATCCTTTACCGAAAGTATTCTTCACTCCTAAGTGCTTATCAGCTACACACTTTTAAACCTCATTCTTATCGGCTACAAAGAGGAAGATTGTACTCCTTATAAGTGCTTATGAGCTACACTCTTTTAAACCTTATTTTTTAATAGCCAATTAAAAATTTTTGAAACTTGCAAGAAAATAGTGGTATAGGCTTGTACCCAGTTATACACTTATTGAATGGAATATTTGCACCAGCAAGCTTCAATTTCTTCCCATCTAAGTTCAAGCCTGACACGAAAGGCTTCTATCACCATAATTCTGTTATAGAATGTATAAAAATGAGCTTAAGGGTCTGTTTGGGAGCGCTTTTTAGGCGCGGCGCGGTTATTACACGCAGCTTTTCGTGAAAGTCACCTGTTTGGTTCGCGACTTCGGGCATTCTGGCGGCGGAAGCGGAGTGAAAGCGGGCAGCGGCATTACCATCGCGTCTCCCGCTTTCCTCCATAACTTTTACCCTTTACCCCGCGTCTACCCTTGGTGATTTCCCGCTGCTTCCCCGCGTCTACCCTAAGGTCATTCCTCGCTGCTTCCCTCGCGTCCCTTTCTCCTTCTCCTCTTTCGTTGTCCCTGGACCGACATACCTAAGGTAAGAAGAGCCATTTTCTTCTTCTATTTGCCGATCTGAGGAAGCATGTGCGTTTTGCGGCTCCTACTGTCTTCTCCTTCTCACCTCTTTCCTGTTTCTGCCATTCTTCTTTACTTCCTCTTTCGTGTGGTGGATCTGTAGCTAAATGGCTTCTTCTTATTACTACGATCTTATGGCATACGAAGATCTGTAGCTAAATGCCATTCTTCTTTACTTCCTCTTTCTTCTTCTATTTGCCGAATATAAGTTCATGTACCGAAGAATCTTGATGGCATGACAAATTAAAAGGCTGCATTTAACTGATGTTTTTCTGTTTCCTTACAAACAAATATTTTCTTAGCCCTCTTCATTGACATCTATAGCATGAACCTAAGCATTTCTTTCTTAAAAATTATTTCTTTACCTGATTATAGATTGAAATGATGTGTACTCGAAAGAGCATGAAGGGGTATATCAAACAAGCATTTCATCTTGAAAAAAAGTTTATGAAATTACGGTACATGAACTTATATTCTGGAATGCTAATTTAAAAAGATTATGTCGATAAATCTCAAAAAAAATGGATGATCATGCAGAATTAGTGATGTAGTACTGAAGTTTATATTATTATTTGCCTGTAGAAAACACAATGTGAAGTAGTTGGGTTCTGTAGTTGGGTGTACACTGCAAATATAAGTAGTTAGTTCCTGAAATATGACGCCCTTGCAGAAATTTATTTGACTGCATCAAAATTTCTATTAAATTGGATTATTCGTGTCAGAGGTGCTCATATTGGGTGATTTGCAATTGTTTTCACAATGTATATAGCAAACTTTTTGAATTTAGATACAGTGGAACATGAAAAAATCATTATTTTGCATAACATAATTTAATTTGATGATTTTTGTTTGGGGTACAAAAGTATTCTTTGTATTTGAGTGGGGAATTGAATTTAGCTCCAAGTTTTTAGACAGCATATTTGAAAAGAAATATTATTTCTCTTAAGTTCATCTTTAAATTTTGTTATGGAAGTGTGATGGTTGGGTTTGCTGTTTGTTATGCAACATATCTGAATTTGTTATGCAGATATCCATGAAAATTTTGCTGAACATTCTAGACATGAAAATTTTGTTATGGAAGTATTTGAGTGGGGAATTGTGTTATGGAAGATTCTAGACATGATATTTGCCAATTTGTTATGCAGCATATCTGAATTTCATTCTATAGAACATATGGTGTCGTCTTTAAATTTTTGGAAGTTCATCTTGTGATTATTTGCTCTACATAACACAATTGAACTATGTGCAATTTTCTAGAATTTTTTTACTCCGTTTTTTTATTACTTCTCTTAAGTTACTTTCTCTTATTTGACTTAAGAGGTATAGGTTTCTATATTTCTTTTTTGAGCATAGGTGGTACTCGAGTTTTGGGAAAATCTAATAAGCATTCATGTATTTTACACCATGAATATGACTTTCTTGTTAATAGATCAAATCCCTTCTTTTCTTTTGTGGATGTAGTTTTACATTAGCTGAAACATATAAATTCAGGTATTCTCTTTTTGGGTTTGCTGAAGCTGAACCAACAGGAATCCATGTTGATGGTCAATTTGAACTTCATTTCCTTTTTTGCTTGATTTCCTGTTTTGCTTGGGTATGCACCTGCTGTTGGAGCTCTTCTCGTTTCGGATTTGAATATATTTGTTTGAACGCATTGATGTGGTTTGTCTTAAATGGATTTTCTGGATTTAGATTTTGTGTTTTGGTTTGCTGAAGTCGATCCATTGATGCTTTACGTGGTTTGGCTAAACGAACCATTGAGATACATTAGCTGAAGCATTGACGTGGTTTGGCTAGTTTCTTGAACACATCAACGTGATTTGGCTTAAATGGATTTTGTCCATCAACGTGTATGCACCACATTGTTGCAGTCGTTACTTATACCAAAACTATCATAGCTGAACCATTAGTTTGCTGCAGTCGTTACTTTAGTTTAGTTACTTTAGTTTGCTGAAGTCGTTACTTAAAGCTGAACCTTCAAAATGAGGGTATAATGGAGCCGGGTTTTTTGCAACTATGATAGTTATTATGATTTGGTTTGCTGAAGTCGAACCTTCACATGTTCAGCAGCCTTCCTGTGCTGTGTATGGATAATATTTATGAGGATTTAAACATTTTGGTATTGTTTGGTGGAGCTGCATTTTGAAAATGTTGAACCTTCAAAGTAGATGGGTATCCTTTTGGTTTGGTTTGTTGAAGCAGAACTTTCAAATTGATAGATTGGATATTTTTATAATTTGCTTTCATGGATACTGATTTTTGGAAGTGTGATGGTTGCTTTGCTTGGCTTTACGGAAGCCGAAACTTCAGAGATTCAGCAGCTGCCCTTTACTGTTTATTTATAATATTTCTATGCTTGGGTTTGCTGAAGTACGAATCCGAGGGGCGTGTTGGCAACTGCTACTACTGCATTTCTATGTATGAATGAAGGGGAAGGGAGAAATTTGCAAGTCATTATGTTTTTTTGATGCTTTTGGGAGGGTGTATTGTATGAATGAAAGCTTTGTATCTTCTTCTTTAATGCTATAATAAAGTTGTGGCCTCCTTTGCCGTGGATGTAGGTCATTTTGACCGAACCACGTAAACATTTGGTGTTCTTTTTCTTTTTTTTTACTTTCTTTAATCAATTTTTTAATCGAAAACTATATTGTTGTGTTTCATATCTTTGCTTCGTCGTAGTAGTAACATGGCTGGTAAGTCTAAAGAACATGGTTCACCGGCAATCTGGGAAAAGGAAATCAAATTGTTGTTCTGCGACCTCTGTATCAAAGAAATTGAGCTGGGCAATAGACCGACAACCTTTTTCAACAAAGAAGGTTGGAATAGTATCATTAAACATTTTAAAGACTCCACCGGACGGGAGTACGACAGGCTGCAAATGAAAAACAAATGGGATCAACTAAAGAAAGATTGGAAAATTTGGAAGGATCTAAAGCGTGGTTCAACTGGTTTGGGTTGGGATCCAATAAAGCGAACCATTGATGCTTCGGAAGAGTGGTGGGCAGAGAGGCTCGCGGTAAGTAAATTTTATTTTTCATAATTTGTGTAATATACTTCTCTTTCAGGACTGAACAAAATGATTTGGGTTTTTTGTTCCAGGTGGTTCCAGCAGCTAAAAAGTATAAAACATGTGGGATTGAACCTGAGTTGGAGGAGAAGTTAGACCAAATGTTCGGGGGTGTCGTTGCAACAGGGAAATATGCATGCGCTCCAAGCGAGACGGGATTTGGTGAAACACAGGACAATGTTGCTGTCAGTTTATCAGATGATTCACCTGAATTTCCAAGTGCAGGTCCAACTGAGATTCAATCTACGAATCGCTCTAAGCGATCTAGGTTCGAGAGCAAAAAAAAGGGTGGAGCTGCCACAATCAGAAACCAGATATCATGCCTAATGGATTCTTCCAATGATGCCCCCCATAAAGTACAGAAAACATCAATTAATGAGGTCGTGGCTATTCTAGAGCAGGATCCGAGTATTGCAGCGGATGATGAGCTATACTACTTCGCTGTTGAGCTGCTTCAAGATTCGGTGCAAAGAGATTTTTTCACAGCTATTGCCAAAGAGCGCAGGGTGTCGTATCTACGACATTTTTTTGAGTGCAAGAAAATTTGAATGGACTTTTTTTAGTTGCTACGTCCTTACTTTAATAGTTTATGAGAAGACATGGTTATTTGAACTGTTGTTTAATGAGACTTTTCAGTTTATTTTGTTTTCTACCCCGCCTCTACACTAAATGCTTGTGTTATTACTTGTCACATGTTAGATTATATAGGTCTGCT